CTCTTCTGCTGCTGTTATTGCAGGTTTCTGGATTTCACAAGGGTTCCATTTCTTACTGTTGAATTCAAGTGTCCTCTGCAGTTGCTCACCTAAAAAGGAGAGAGGGAGTAGGAGCAGAGGACTCCAAGTCTTTGGGTGGAGACTCTTTGTGAGATAGAAAAAGAGAGATTGTGTGTTGAGGGGAATATTGGAAGAGATTATTTATATTGAAGATTTAGATTGAGTTACTGCTTTGAAGCACAGAAACGGAAAATTACTTGAGTCACTGTTTTCTCCATTCTCCCAAAGACAGCACATAGCCAATGCAGTACGGCCTTTTTATCCAGTATCCCTGTCTGTGGTTCCACTTATCTGAGGTCAACTACAGTTCAAGAACAAACAATTGATAGAATTTAAATAGTGTTTCAATCTCAGGAGCATGATAGAATCTTGTGACACCTTGCTTCATCCTGCCAAGGATGTGGGTCATCTCTTTGTCCAGCACATCCACGTTGTATACGCTACCTGCCTATTCATGTGTATGTACAATGAGAGGTTTGGGAAGAGAAAAATTCATATAACTTTCTGAAGGTATACTGCTATTTTGTTAATTATTTATTATTCCATTTGATTATTAGTTGTTTATGATAAAAACTTTTATTGTGCCCACCTTATAGAGTAAACTTCATCACGTATATTTATATAGAGGAAAAGGCACAGTGTAAATAAGGTTTGATAAACATCCATAGTTTTGAGCATCCTCTGGGGGCCTTGGAATAGAGGCCTCAAGGAAAAATGTGGACTAGATGCAAAGGAGATGAGTTAATTCACATAGAGTGAAGGTGTTAGAAGATATTGCTTAAGTCTCTGTGTCGCTAGGTCAGATGGACTTCAGGCACTAAAGTGAATTATGATTGCTTTGGTTTTCTTCTCAGCCCTTTGAGAATTCTATAAAAATTCATTGGAATTTATTCCCAAAGACTTGTGTTGAACAAAAGAAAGACGTCTTGTGCCCAACCTGTACATACTTCCTTAGCCATAGCTTTAGGACTTCTTTGTTTTGTACCTATGTCCACTAAAATTGTTTACTTTTAGCTGCTTAAAACAGTAATTGGCATTCATGATACAGGTGTCACCTTTTTACAAGTCTCCTTCACACACTGATTCTCTAGTTCCAACTTTAAATCTGTCTGCTGTTTTTCCTATAACTGTCAATCATTTTACCAGAACATAGCTGTGAAGGTGATTATTGAACACGACCCTTTAAAGTTTTTAAATTAAGTACTTTCACATTTGGTTTTGGTCAGATCTCTTCCTAGTAATTATACTAAATTTTGGAGTATTTGCTCTTTTGAGTTGCCTTCTCTTTCTCCTGTCCTTTCCCTCTCCTTCCCCCTCTCCCTTCCTTCTCTTTTATTACTTTAGGAGAGTTCTCCAGATGATTGGCAATTAAAACTTCCTTTTGTGTGGACCTAGAGTTTTTGTTTGAGATTTAATATAGAATATAATATAGGATTTAATATAGAATTTAATATAGAATATAATATTTAATATAGGCTTTAGTATAGAATCCTGTACTGTTACATGTATTTACATCCTTTGCATTATATTTTAAACAAAATTTTCATAGCCCAAATCAAAATCCTGGTCTCTGTTGAGGTAAAGATGAGGTATAAATTGGCTCCACAAAGGTAGCTTTTAAGAACTGTCTTTTCAAAAGGGACTGATTTTTCAAGGCAAATTTCTGTAACAATTTTCTAGGTCTTTAGGATGAAGGAAGTTTTTCTTTCCCTCCTCCACCTCCTCCTTTTTCTTCTTCTTTTTTTCTTTCTGTAAATGTTAACATCTTCATATATCCTCCAAACTAGATGCTTTGTGAGCTCTCTTTTTACACTTTTGCAGCTCTGATTCCCTTCCTACTGTAGCTGGTAGGAAGTTAATCGGCATCTCTCCTAAGCAAGAAGTCGTGCTTTGTGAGGACAGAGCCTCTGTCCTTTGACTCTGCCAGCACACCTCATGTGTCAGGAGACACATTTTCCTCTTAGGAAGCATCCAGGGCACTGTTTCTGAGGGTCTCCCGGCATAGGTTAGGAATAAGCAGGGCTAAGTCCACAGAGGGTGGCCCACGTTGACATTCTGTTTCTCCCTGCTCTGTGCAAGCCAAGAAAGGCAATGTCTGAGAGCTCCTTTTCATTAACACACTGCTCCAAAAAGTCTCTTCTACACAGACGCCTGCTTCTCCACCTAAGCCATACTTTCAAGTTCTACACAGTATGAAGCATTGTCTAGGAAACTGGAGCCCTTTGATTTATTTGAAAAATCAGGTTAAAGCTACCAAATTTCAGGGCTTGAAGAGATAGTGTGGCCACCCTAGAGACACTGTCAACTCAATAAAAATAAGGACAAATCATGGCTCATTTTGTGGGTCAGTCCACATATTCCTCTATTACTGTTCCTCAGAACATGCTTTGATTAGAAGGGGGAGGAAGAGTAGAAAAAGGAGGGAAAAAAGGAAGAAGAAGAAATGGAGAAGGAAGAAAAGGAAAGAGGAAGAAGAAGAGAAAGAAAAGGTGGAGAAGGAAAAGGAGAAGAAAGACCTTTAACAGTGGAATAAAAATATTGGAATAGTAGGTGCAAAAGTTTTCCACTTGGTGATAGAGAAACAAGCCATTTTGTCACATAGATAATGTATTGATGTATTATTAGACAGGGAAGGCTGGTTTCCATAAACTTACCATGAAAATTCTTATTCTGCTGTGTAAAATCAGTCTGCTTTTAAGGGTCTGCTGTAGTGAGATGTTGGTTTGGCTTGATATAAAATGAAATCCACATCCCTTTGTTTTTATCTTGACAGTTTCTGGGGCTACTCTTGCTTCTTAGTGAATCTCATTATATGATCTGAGCATTTAATGAAAGGTTCTTTTCTGCCAGCATACTGAATAAACACTACTCTTGCTTCTGGAATCCTTATGAGCTCCTCTGAGCATCAAACAGCTGCATCAGCTTTATTGAAAATGAGTTTGTTCCGAGGCTGGTATTTCTCAGTGAAGGCCATGTTCAGAAGGCAAGGCTAACTGTGAAATCACTTTGATAACCAACACAAAAAGCCTCATAAAATAATAACTTCCAAGGTTTCCTTCATTTCAAAAGCAGACAAGCTAGAGCCAGATTTTACAGAAGTAAACTATTTGCTTTTTAATTTTTGAAATTTTGTGCTGCACAACTCCTTCACTATTCTCAAGATCAAAATTTCTTTTTCCATTTCAATCACATTTTCTATCAATTTGTCAGGAATTCTATATACAAATTGAAACGGGAATCAAGGTTGCTGCTATTAAATAATTTTTCTGAGACCATACCTGACATTTAGATGTGGAGTAAGTTCTCAATGAAGGGCTACATTCAACCATTTTAGTGAAAATAATAATGCCACTACTTTAACACACAGATATTTTATGCTAAATTTTCCTTTAATGCATTAGATTAAAAATATTGATATGATATAATAGCAGTAAATTATTGTGATTTTACTTATAACAACTGATAGCTACATATTTTTATTCTTTGGATTTTAAAAATATATATACCCTGTGTTTCAATAAAAAAACTCTGACTTCCACATTTTCACATTTACAACTTATTGTACTTCCGTGCCTTCAACTGGCATTTAAAAGCAGCAAGGGTCCTGTAGTTTAAAGTAGTGAATCATTTTTATCCACAAAAGAACCCCATTAGAGGATGTGATAAGATTTTGAAAATTATGAAAAGAAAAGAAGAAAAAACCCTCAAACCACTGACTCATAATGGCTCACACAACAGGTCACATTAGGTGAAAGATACTTGAATCTTACGCTTCAGATCTGAGGTTATTATTTGCTCTACCAGACTTCAGGAAGGCAAAACAAATAAAGTGAAATGGGAGATAGGAGAAGAGCACAGGGAGTAGGCCTGCAAGGACTACAGCTCTCCCATTCTGAAGGGCGCGGTCATGTCCAAGGCGCTGGGTTCTCCATCTGCCCTCTGGGTTCCAGCTGCACCCGTGACACCCATCGGGGGGAAGAACTGCCTTCATGGGCACAAAGGCTCCTTGCAGCTAGCTCCCATGCTGCTAAACTTCCTCTTGGTCTTGCAGCATGATTTTCATGATTTATGCACAAATCAGTGCTTGGAAACACATCTGAACTTTGACCTCTTGGTTTCCTACTGAGGTCATTTGCCGTTTTCACCATATTCAGTGGCCAACTGGTGAAAAAGGAAGAGATTAAGAGTTTGGTGATGCTACTGAGAGTGGAATTTTATACATACTCACTCTTTTTTCCTTCTTCACTTTCTGTGCAGTGGTAGCATGGAAATGAGGCTGAGACAGAGTGACTTCCCATGCTTCTGGAGGAAACTCTGGGTGGCTTGTGGGGACAAGCACAGATCATATGGTAGCACTGAGGGAGCACAGAGCAAGGTCAGCTGAGCTTGGGTAAATCAAGTCAGGATTGAAGCACTTTTATATTTTAAAAAAAGGTTGTGTGAGAAGAGGAATATATCCTGATTATCTTCCCTTCCTTTCACATATTCAGTCTGCAGAAATCATGAGAACTGTATAAATGCCCTTCAGATTTGCTTTAGGACAAAGGTCAAGAATGTCAGAGTTGAGATGAACTTATAAGTGGCACAAAATTGCCTATACCTATGCTGTGTCCTCTGCTTTTTTAGTAAAAAGCATCATAAATTTAGTTACCACTAATCTTATTATATACACTTATTAAGGAATACTACCCATAAGTCATGTACTGTCTTGTGTGTTTTCTGAAATATATGTGAATTCTTGTACAATTCCTATTCAGTAATAGCTCGTACTACCCTCGTTTAGAGATGAGGAGACAAAGCTCAGAAGCGGTTGGTAACTTGCTGACTACTCCAGAGCTGGCTGAGGGTTGTGTGGGAAGTTGCACTTTAAAATAGATGCTGACTTCATTTCTTTTTTGTTCATATGTTAAAAATAATTTTAGACCATCCTTCTATTCCAGTTAATGGTCTGAACAATAGTATTTGGCCACTGAATAAGCAAACACAACTGTTCCAGGTGTGATATCGCAAACTACAACTATCCAGGAAAGCTGAAGTAAGTAGTCAATAATGATTGAGACACTGGGGATTTTGTAAGAAGTATTGACTAGTTAGGGGGAAATAAAGAACCAAACTGTGTTACACATCCTAGAAGAGGAAGAAGAAGGAGAGGGAGAAGGAAAAGAAGGAGAATAAGAAGGAGGAGGAGGAGGAGCAGAAGAAGGAGGAGGAGGTGGAGAACAAGAAGAACAAGGAGGAGAAGAAGAAGGAAAAGAAGGAGGAGGAAGAGAAAAGGAGGAGAAGAAAGGGAAGAAATGCCTTGTTTTGAAGTCATAAAGTTAATACTCCAGCTTAAATATGAGTTTTTAAAATAAACTACTTGACTCTTCTTGTACTTCATGAACAAGGGAGCTATAGGGCAGAAGTGTCCTAGAGGAATTTGTTGCAGAGATTGCGGATCTCAACAGCACAATATGAGATGAAAATTATACATGAGTGAAAAGGGAGGTGTATGTTGCTGTCATAAAAGCTGGAATTTACCCATCATCCCTGTTCAGCTGCAGAATGGTGCAAAGCACCACTATCCAGAGAATAGTGAGCAAAGGTAGAGGCCAATAGTGAGGTAGGGTGGAAGAGGGGGAAAGGAAGATGGGGTTTAGAAAAACGGAGTTTCAAAGGAAGCAGAAAGAATTGGCAAAGAAGAGGAAATGAAGGGAAAGTCAGGAAGCACGTATAACTTCCGGGGTTCTCACTTGAGCCCCTTGATGGTTCTGGTCTAATACCTTCCCTGTTTATTCAACAGTCTTCATAGACTGGTTCTTCCCTTCCACACCCTCTTTAAACACCCTAACCCATGCCACACCCCCGGGTCCTCACCTTCCCAAGTCATTTCCATGCCTATCGGAAGCCAAGACTTGAGCCACCCCGAAGGCTTTCAGACCATGCTGTGAAGTAATTATTAAAGCAGAAGGAGCACTGGTGCCAAGCTCAGCTTTTCTTCTGCAATTCTAGGTGGCTCAACTATAGCTTTGGTCTGGCATACCACCCTCAGCAAAGCAGCAGCCCCGGAAGTCATCAGCGCCTCCTGCACAAAGACCCTGTGCACACTTCCATCTGGCCACTTGAGCGTGGCCTTCCTACAGAGAGAAAGGTGTCTCACTTCTCTCCACCTCCAGAAGCAATCAAATCTGCCTTCCTACCATATATGTTACTGCAGTCTCTCTCTAAGAAAAGCTTAGGTAAAAGTCATTTCCTACAGTGACATTTTAATACCTTGTATAGATTGCCTCTGGCAGACTTTCACCTGGCTTTCTCTATATATTACACTAACCAACTGGGAAGTTCCTCACAGTCCATTCTCTGTTTCATCTTCTCAACTCTACCCCCTCTCTCTCCCCCTTTCCTCCCCTCCTCTCCCCTCCTTTCTCTGTCTCTGTCTCTGTCTCTCTCTTTCTTGTTCTCTGTCATTCATGGACATTTCTAAACAAAATCTTTAAGAATCAATTCAAACTTGTCATATACGTTCTTGACTTCATTCTTTCCTATGTCCTCTCATATCCTCTTGGCTGTGCTCAATCATACCTCATTTTTGTAAACACTAGTCTATAAACAGGCTCACTTTTCAAAATTAAAAACAATATTTTTCTCTAGCTCTTGCCTTATTGTATCCATAATCCCACCTTCTTGTAAAGCCACAGTTTTGATGACTATAATTTATACTGATTATGGCATATTTGCTATGCATTGAGAACTTTAACATCTATTATTTTCTTTTAATTTCATTTTAATTATAACTAGTGTAGTTTCTATTTTACACATGGAGAAACTGCCACCTTTAGTAAATTAGGTCACACAGAAAGGAAGTGGCTAGGCCAGGATTTTAAAGCCAGATGTGTCTGAATCCAAAGCCTTTTAAAGAATTATGGTACAGCATCCTGACGAGCTTCTACTTGCTCTTTGTAGCTCCTTAATTTCTAGAAACAGCAAGGACAGCATCAGTACTAAGTAGCCATGCAATGGCCATCTTTCAGTATTGATTGTTCTTGATGTTTCTGGAGTACTTACCTCCCTGAAACACACCTTTCTTTTCTTTTCCATCACCCCATTGTGTTCTGATTATTTCTTATTCTGATCTCTCATTCTGTTTCTTTCACTGACAATTTTTACTTTTTCTCCTCTATGAATGTTAGTGTACCCCAGGCTCCAGTTTTGACGACAGGATCGCATTCACTTTTACGAAGCCAACTGAGCCACTCAACACTGTATCTCTGTCTTAGACCTCCCATCTGAATTTCGAGTCATTATTTCTATCCACCTGTGAGATATTTACACATGAACATTTCACACCGAAACTGGAAATACAAATGGTTAGGACATTGAATCCATAATATTCCTCCCAGAACTGCTTTTCAAATTTAATTTAATTTTTCTTACTTTAAAGAAAATAATAAAGAAACCAATAAAAATGATACAGAACTTCAAATCAAGATGATTGGAAATTAACAATGGTTATTATATTGTATATTGTTATCTTCAAAATAGTTGCTCAGATTATCAGATTGAGGCATGTAACATTGGTCAAACAATATAAGCACTAACAGTTCCTTTCAATGAACCAATAGAAATTAGTAGCAGCATTATCTTAGCTAATATATATATAAGCTAATAATATCTATCTATATCTATCTATATCTATATCTATATCTGTTCCTTCCTTCTTTTCTCCTTTCCCTATCCCACTTATTTTTTCCTTTTTGAACAGTTTCTTCCCCTTTCAAAATGTCTGTTATACCGTTTGGATCTTACTACTCTTTCAGTTTCTTACACTAGGGAGACAAGATGATATTTACACATTTGAGTATGATTTATTTCACTAATGAGTATGGTCTCTAGTTGCATCAATTTACCTATAAAAGCCTCAAATTTATCTTTCTGTATAGTGGAGTAATACTCCATTGTATAAAAATACATCTTTTTTATCCTTTCCTCAGTTGATGGGCATTTGGGTTGTTTCCAAGATTTAGCTATGACAAATTGTGCTGCTATTAACATGGGTGTGCATATATCGCAGTGGTAGGATGTTTTTAATTCTTCTGGGAAAATACCCAGAAGGGGAATAGCTGGGTTGAATGGGACCTCTAGTCCCAGCTTACTGAGAAATTTCCACACTGATTTCCACAGTGGTTGTACCAGTCTACACCCCTACCAACAGTGGAGTTTTTCCCCACAGCCCTGTCATTGGTTGATTATTGTTATTGGTTGATTATGTTATTGGTTGATTTCTTGATGATAGCCATTAGCCACCTTATCTTTGACCAAGGGGTCTAACATATTCACTGGAGGAAAGATAGCCTCTTTAACAAATGGTGCTGGAAAAACTGGCCCTCCACATGCCAAAGACTAAAACTAGACCCATGTCTATCACCATCCACTAAGCTAAAGTCAAAATGGATCAAAGATCTAAATATTAAAACAGAAACACTAAATCTACTGGAAGAGAAAGTAGGTAGCAATCTTGATGACACTGGGGTAGGCAGAGAGTTCATGAACAAAAACCAAACTGCACGGGAAATACTTCAAAGAGTGAACAACTAGGATTTCATCTTATTAAAAAGTTTTTGCACAACAACAGAACTGCTTTTTCTGTGAAGAGGAATAGTGTCATTCTCTAACTACATTCCCAAGCTTATCAGCTTCAGAGATTCCTTCTTGATCCCTATAACTAATAAGTATTTTTCATATTTTTGCTATTTGTTCCAACTACACATTTGCTCTGTTATTCTGTATTTTGTTCAGACTTCTCTCATCTGTCTCCAGAATGGTTGCTATGGCCTTCCTGAACCCTGTCTTAACCCCACAGTTGTCATGCCTCCACTATTAAAACCCATCCTTGAAACAGTTGCCTGAAATAATTTTTAAAATAAGATTTTGATCATGTCATGGTAAGCAAAACAAAAAACTGTGCTTAAAGTCTTTGGTATGCTAAAAATCAAGACTTGTTTTTGAATAACCTCAAGTACTTGGCTATTGATGGATGTGTTATTTCTAGAAACTTCATTTTCTTGTAGATTTTAGAAAAGACTGTCAACTGCTTTAAAAATGCCTCATGGACTTTTTATTGGAATAATATTGAATTTACATATTAAACTTGGTAGACTGGGCATCTTAATAATATTGAAGCATCAAATCTATTCCATTTATTTAGGTTTCCTAATTTATCTTTATGTTTTATAGTTTTGAGTATAATGGCCTTCCATATCTTTCATTAGATGTGTTCTTAAGGTATTCAGTATTTTAAATGCTATTAAAATATTACTGTGCCAGTGATATAGCTCAGTGGCACAGCGCCTGCCTGGCAAGCACAAAGTCCTGAGTTCGATTCCTGATACCAAAAAAAATTACGTTTTATAAAATTTATTTTATAGTTATTGATTGATTTTTATAGGTGTGTGTGTGTGTGTGTGTGTGTGTGTGTGTGTGTGTGTTCCATCAAAATCTCTCTGTGCCCAATCATGTCTTCTGTGAATAGTGGCAGTTTTTCATCTTTCTTCCTAATACTGATGCCATTTCTTTCTTTCTTTTGTTTTATGGTACCGTCTAGGCATTCTAGACAATGTTGAACAAAATTATAATAACAGACATCCTCTCTTTCTTCTAATCTGGAGACATTGTCCTAAGATTTCACTGTCTACTATTGATGATCGAATATCATCTTTAAGTATCTTTTGTCAAACAGAGAAAGCTCATAGTTTAGAGTCCTACTTTCATGATTTTTTATTAGAGATAAGTGTTCAATTTTGTCATAAGATTTTTTCATATTTATTAAGGAAAGTTTATTCTTTCTGCCTTTATTCTATCAGTGTGGATGTTTTCATTGACTTACACGTAATTATTCATGTAGTTGGATGTAAGTTTACTGTCTTGGCTTCAATATTCTCTTTTACATCTGTCATTTTTTCTTTCTCCCACTTCTGTTGTCTCTGTAGTTAAGTACTCTTAGTATTCTAACTGATCTCTTCTATTGATCTTTCAATTAGATATATTCATG